TTCTGTCACATATAAAAGTAACTCTATAATCACTGGAGCGAAGTCAATTTTAACTATCTCGCACATGACATAGGCACCAGATTCGTAATCAAAAAAAGCATTCAATGTATTAACATTGACTAAAGTCATGTACCCTATAAGCGTCACATATAAAACATTCACTAATATAATTGCAGCGAGGACAGTGTTGCCAACTCCTACATTGGAAATGCACTAGATTCTTAGCCAAAAACGAATTCAATGCAATAAATGTACATTGCTTAAATACTGGTTTCCTCCTAGGTCTCAAACTTAAAAATAACACTATTACTGGAGAAGGATGGCAGTACTTTTTAAGAAACTTTTTCTTGCTGTTATCATTTTCCCACTGCAATGCCACGTTATTCGGTTGTGGCTATGCTCTCTTGTCGTATGTAAGATACTAACATTTATTCCGTTTCTTTCATTTCATTTTATTCTACGTACTTAACTGAAAACTTTTCCGACATCAGAGACTCAGTGAGGGAAATTAGAGATACCTTAGGAACTCAGTATAAACATAATCATCAAATCGCAAAGCAATATGTAAATTTCATAACATGATTGCCTGAACGTAGATTAAAAATTATGAATATTCGTATAATAATATTAATGACATCTCTCATTATTTTCAAAACTATATAAATTACATTTTATGTTATACATAAATAAACGGAAAAGCTCACTCATACCAGAAATAAATCTCAAACGATATTTCTTTGTTATTTTCCACGGTATGGAAATTTTAATCTTGGTTCACTTACTGCTCTTGAATGTAGGCAGCTGCTAATGCAAAGAATGCAGGAATAATAGAAAACAGTGCGGCAATAAATATCCCTCCCATATGTGGATATTTGAAACAAAATATGGAATATAGCAATAATTATCTTTTTTCCACTCGCTTTCAATTCCAGTACCATAATTACTTTCTGCAAATGACGTTCATGCCGTCCGTCGAGGCCCCTGCAGCAGGCAGAACTCCTTTCCTTGCTGCTGATCCAGTGAAGCTCCTGGAAGAAGGTCGTGTGGCTCAAGTACCTTACTTGACTGGTTTCACTACCGGCGAGGGACTCGTGTATCTATGGTGTACGTATCTTTTATTTTCTATTGCTGAACGTATTTCTATGAACACAGGAAATTTACTTTGAAACTTAGCACTGGTCTTGCACTTTCTTCAAAAACAATCAATATGTTCATGTTCAGTCGACTTACGTGGCTCAGGACATCAAATGATTCCCTGCAGTGCCTCTAACGGTAGGTCGTAGAGTTCAAGCCTGTATGTTGGGAGGATTCAACTAGCTACGCAGCTAGGTTGAATTCATGCGCTGTCTGGAAGAATATTCTAGCGACCGCCTGCTCCGTTTAGCCGTTTTCCGTAGTTTCTGCAATCGACGGCAGGCGAAATCAGAAACAGTACCCTACCAAACGGGCTATGGTCTGCCCGTGATATTTCATGCCTTTTCCTTATTCCATCCTTACCCTTTACCCATGTGTATATAACTTACATTCACGCATGTCGGAAACCCAGTCGGGAGCCTAGAGCTTGCCTCACCAGGGGCGGTGCCACGTTGGTAGAAGATACCTGGTGGGAAATAAATCAGAAACCAATGGGAACGGTAGGCGCTGGATCTCGCCATCCATTGAGGGAGGATCAACGTCACTTATCGCAATAAAAGCTTGCGCTACACTTTCGAGACATATGTCTTTAAAAGTTGGCATGCGCGGAGTAACTAATCGATAGATCAATCAATGTAATCTTCAAATCGCAAAAGACCGATAGTGAAATTCAATATCTAGATGAAAATGTTTTGAGTAGTATTAGCAACGTGGAAATAAAGACACGTGCACAATAAGTATTGCATAATTTGTTTATCAATTGAACGATATACGGAAGCTAGCTGTGCCTGAAAATTTTTCATATAAGATTTCAAATCGATGAAATGAAAAATATATAGTAGGTTTACATCTCCAAAATTATCTGTGTTCACGATAAATTTCTTCATATGTCAATTATATTTACGTGTCTATCTTTCTTCTAACAAACACTAAACCCAGTTCACATGAAAAAACATTCATATTGGCATATTAACGGCCAAATTATTTCACATTTGGCGCCTCACGGGGAATTTAACCATTAATAGCAATTCTTTGGCTAATAATGGCTAATAGCTAATTAACAACGAAGAACATACAGTTCAAACGTACTGCGTAGGAAATTTCACCCGTCGGCTATTATATATATGGTCAACAGTCACAACGGACTGAGCAAATTTAATGTATGGTGGATTTAACTTCCCGTTCCCTTTCCAGCCCAACGTGGGGCTGTAAAGCAGCAAATAGAAGGTGAGACTATTGAACATAGCATGATATTCGTGACTCATATTGTACATTTCATTCTCTTTCCAGTGTGTTGAACATAACTATTTGTAATGTTTTCTTTTTCGAGCACTACTAGTCCAATTCCTTTAACATTTTCTCAATGACACCTTCACTTCATCAATAGTACACCGCAGCTCTAGCGATCGTAATAAAAACCATCATTTTGGGAAAGTTGTTGGACACAAAACGCACGGAGCGTTCAAAGCAGCACTAACCCCCGCTTGCCATTTGTATTTATCACTTTTCCGTTAAAAAGAGCTAAGTAAGTACTAATTCCAAGTCTTTACTTTTGGTATTCTGTTTTCCTTTCTTTCATTTAGTCATCGCTTCTTTCTCGGATCGCTGAGAACACTTTCCACCTTCCTTCTGTCTTGCACTCTTTCCAATTTGCTTTAAGTTTCTATTATTTACTTCCATTTTTAGGACTATCCGCGTCCAGCATATTATTGCCTTCTCACACGTTGAACGATTTTGCGCAGTCGGCAAGCTGCTCCCGAACCAAGAGCCGTCTCGCTGGGGGGAGGTGGACTCGGCCTTCTCTCGCATCTTCCGCTGGGACATGCCCCAGGGGCTGCGCACGCCCGAGGCCACGCGGGAAGTGCGCTCTTTCTACCTCGGGGACCGCTCCTTGCGCAGCGCCAACGACAGCGTCGACACCGTCGAAAGGTTCCAGAAGGTACGGCTCAAATGCACAATAATAAAAGTTCATATGCATTTTCCTGAATGCCATGCGCAGTAATTTTGTAGCTGATAGAAGGGGGACAACTAAAGGTCTATCAATTATGTAAACAGTGTAAAAAATTACGTTAACACCACATCTGTAAGGTACTTAAATGATTGACTCTCCACGTTCGTCTAAAATATATTATTATTATTATTATTGTTATTATTACTATTATTATTATTATTATTACTATTACGCTACTAAATATTACGACAAATGAAAAAGGAGAGGAAATTTTACTAATATTTACACTCATTGCGATAAATTTATTTTATCTAATGAGTATTGCTTTTTTTTTTGCAGATGTGTACTGACATATTCTTGGCTGTGGGTATTTCAAAAACAGCAGAACTGTTGACAAAGAACGGAGGATCTGTGTATGTGTACCAGTTTTCTCGTGATGGACCGCTCGGTATCATCAAGCAAGACATGGGTGCCGCCCACATTCCGGGTGTGACGCATGGCGACGATATGGCTTACCTCTTCGACTTCATGAATCAGACTGCAAATGAGCCCTTCCCGGTGCCCTCTTCAGAGGTGCCTCTGCGAGAACGCCAGCAGAAGATATTCGCAAATTTTGTCAAATTAGGGTACGTGGAGTCACGAACATACATATTAACCTTCTCGTTTTTAACCAAGGTCATGTATGTGGTTTGCGTGGATACAGACACATCATTATTAATTAATGAAGATTCAAAATTTATCGATATGAATGTCATTACTTACCATGCAAAGCTTTCTAAAATTCGTAGAATGTTAGAGTATATGTATTCTAATCACACGAAATACGAAACGAGATTCACCTAAATACTTAAAGATAATTTTTAACATATGAAATTGTAACGGATGTATTTGGCGAATTCCTGAATTACCCGGTTAATATTAACTTTATCTTAAAGTGGGGGAACGTTTGAAGTAGGAAGGGCATCAGACCATACTTTGGAAGTCAGAAGGATATTCACACTAGCGAACCCAAGATTGTTGGGATATTGACGAGTAGCAGGTATGTGATAAACAGGATAAGACTGTTGATACAAAATTCCACTGTCTCAGTCATGAATATCTGTTTACCAAATCTAACCTCACTTCTTTACACTCTTTCAAGTGGGCTCGAGCATCCGAACTTTGAGATTGATAAAATAACATCTAGTTAGTGCATCGCATAAATTTTCAACGCGATTAACCCCATAATACGTCTTATAACCGCCATGGATATCTCATACTTGTACCATCACTTACTTCGAGATTAACCTTTTGCTAATAACATTATTCGGATGAATTCCGAAATGATCCGTTAGTCATTAGTACAGTCATGCATAAGTGTCTATTAACCGGCTACCCCAAACATTAGCCATACTATTGGTCTTTATCTGTGATATATCATACATATATTAAACCCGTGAAATTAAAATAAATTGACTAAAAATTTATTTTCAGAGAATCAATATTAGAACACAAAATCTCAGTATTTCATTTAAGTTTATTGCCACGTTAAAAACGTCTTATTGAAATATTCTAATATATTTTTAAAATGTCGTTACTACAATGATGCAATTTAAGAGCTAATTTGCTCATGGAAAGGTCGTTTCTTCGTAGTATCATAAATTACACATTTTTCTGTATCATAGTGCCATGGTACCAACCTACAATATGGGGCAATGACTTCTCAAGAAAGTTAAGAAACACATCAAACTTAATAAATCGACAAGATACTTGTACATTAGTTCAAGAATTTTAAGATTTTCGTTTAGAACAAAGATAGGTGGAACACTGTCATAATAGAAACAGCATGAAATCTTCCAGAATAACTGCCCTTAATAAAATGTAATAATAGAGACATGTTTCATCATCGTAACTAGTCCTCTTCGTTTTCTTGCAGGCACCCGACTCCAGATGGCAGTGGTTTGGTCGAGTGGCCACTGTATCAAAAAAAAAAGACGAAGAAAAAATAAATATGGGAGATTTCCCTGCTCAATTCGGCCGACTAAAAGATATTGTAATCCATCCACTACTGTACATCTGTATTTATGCCTAGTATCACTACTAACATAATCCCTGAAAGATAGGAAGAAAATGTATATGGTGATGAAGCGTATAACACAAAATACCGCCATTGAAGATATGATTCAACAGAAGATGTGTGAGATTAAACAGATCATTTCTGGTCACAGTTTTCGGACCGCATTATAATGTTTAGTTTTTCCTGTCTTAATTGTTGATACTAATAAAGCTCATGTCAAGTAACGTTCTATTATGAGCCACAATCTATTGACACATCTACTATCCTTTTTCTCCCTTCTCTTCACGGCCGACTCTTTTGCTTCCCCAATTTTCCCTAATGATATATCCTCCCTGTTCCCTTCGTATTATAGTCAGTGGCGCACTGGAAGTAAATGCTCGGCCAGGGGCGTTGGTTTCTAATTGTCTGGGGTAATTTTTCCGGGCCAACAACGTTTCGGGGCGTAGCTCTTTTTATTTGTCTCCGCAACATTCCGCAATTCTGGCATCACGGTTTCTTGGATGACTATCTTTCGGGTGATTCTTGCGTTTCGAGAGGACTTTTTTAGTAATGCCGCAAAAGTGAGAATATTATTGGGAT